CATGGTCGAAAACTTTAGTTATACGATGACAACGCGAGTGCTTCAAATTTGGATCTGAAACTTTGATGACAACTAGGAATTCATCGGTTGAGGACTTTCAGGATCATATATCTTGATCCTTAAAGCTGAGGAAATCGATAAAAACGGGCAAAACATCTTTGACTTAGTGTTTTAAAATTTATAAAAACGAACCGATTCGAAAAGTTCAAGCGAACCAAATGGTTGGCAACGACGACTCGGTTCTAAGTGTGCTATTAGCTGCTGAGAAGCGCGCTTTACCCAAGGAAAATCAGTTTTCCACATAAAATATGCAATAGTGTACAATTCAAAGATTCGATCCAAGTCGAAGACTTGACTTCGACTGCTAGATTATTCGACTGTTCAACACTTCACTTGTATATTTCATCTTGACTAACTCCTTCATCATCATTTAACCTCTCTCCTAACCTGCGTATCGTTCGCCTATCCTCTCGTCGTATCGTAGATGTTCTCACATTGCGAAAAAAATGGTATTTTGGAAGGTTTTGAAAATTGAAACGAATAGAAATCTTGTTCAAATAGCAAGGGCTTCTAAAATATATCAAAAAACTTCATAATCTCTACGAAATCATAAAAAAGGTTTCGATTTCGTTGACAATTCTCAGAATCTTTTCAAGTTTCCTATCGTAATATTTTTCTCAGAACCTACTCGAACAATTCAACATTGAGGAGATCAAAGCAGAAGTCAAGAAGTCGAATGGGCTTTTTCGATTTACAATTGACCGTTTATTATGCATCGTTTTTTAATCACTGAGAGAGGAGAAAAACTAAACACGACATAATACTAGTAGCATAAATACAGAGCATAAGTAAGAAGAAAAACAGAGAACAACACATGTGCTGGTTATCTTTGGTGCTCAGTTAGCTTCAAATGTCACTGACAATGGAGGTGTGTGTGATGTAACTCAAGGAGATAGGACATATTTGGGTCAAATTAAAGGTCTCATTGCCAAACTAACAAATTTAAAATATGACGTGCTTATAGCTTGCCTGGACCCAGATATTCGAATTTCAAGATATGTGAAATTTAGGTATAAAAATGAATCAGGAAAGATTTTCTCCACTATTGTAAGGACAAAACATAGTGTTGCTCGGGCCATATGAAAGAGGACCCCTCCAAACCCCCTAGTCGGCCCGAACAACACTATGTTTTGTCCTTACAATAGTGGAGAAAATCTTTCCTAATTCATTTTTATACCTAAATTTCACATATCTTGAAATTCGAATATCTCGGTCCACGCAAGCCATAAGCACGGCATATTTTAAATTTGTTAGTTTGGCAGTGAGAGCTTTAATTTGATCCGAATATGTCCTATCTCCTTGAGTTACATCACACACACCTCCATTGTGAGCTACTGACTGTTGCCGAGCACAAAACAAAGTTAATATCCTCTTTATATGCTGTCTTGATCTCCTCCTATCAAGGCTCTTTCGCATCTGTTGTTGTAGACTGATTGAGAGAATCATCAATGGGTTACATAATCTAACGTAATCGAAAAGGGAAGTAATTTATTAGTTAAATACCTATTACTAGGTTGAGCAAAAAGTTCGCGGTCACTTGCAAA